ACTCAGTGGTACTGGATTGTGTACTGAAAAGATTTGGAAAGGGTTTAATTGAACAGGAGTTTTGCTTGAGAAAAATTCATGTAATAGTAATACAAGAAACCTCTTTAGATTTTGTTCAGAAGTGGACTCAAGATTCACAAAAGTCAACATATTGTTCAGGGAACACTCTATCTGAACTACTAGATTTAATTCAAGTGTGAGAGATGCAGCCTAGCCAAGGACTTTTTCTTTAGACTCTTCTTGGTTAATTTCAGGGCCGAGTGGGAAAAGGCAATAAATTAGAGGCAATAGCCTGTGGGAGAAGAGGAGTAATAACATGAAGAAAGAACAGAAAGAGCAGGGAAGACTTGAGACATAGACATTCATTCTCATTTTTGTCAGGAAAAAAGCTCTGGTTTTTGTTTGTTTGCATGGCTGTCCTGTTAGAGTCAGAGTTAGGGTTAGAAATGGAGAAGGGCCTTCTTCCTCTTGTAAGTTCAACACGTGGAAAAAGCATTCACTTAACCAAAACCACTGCCAAATTCACTGCTATTGAGCCAGTTTTGACTCATAGCAACATAATGGAATTGTCCCGTAGAGGTTCCACAGTTGAAATCTTGAAGCAGATCTTCTCCTGTTGAGTTAGTGGGTTCGAGCCACTCCACTTTGCACCACCAGCATTCCTTAATTTAACTTAGCAGGGAATAGGCTGGGCCTATATAAGCTCAAACCTATTATAATACCTACTTTTGGGGACTGAGGAAAATACTGTCTGCTTTTTCTCTCCAGACCAGTAAGATTTAGCCCATAGCCACTCTGCTAGGTTGGAAGATAAACTGGAAACAATTTCATGAATTCTTTTTTCCACGTTCCTTAATGTGATTGTTGTTCTGCCTTGGGGTTTTTTTGTTTGTTCTAGGGGTTGGTTTTTTGTGTTTTTTTTTTGTTGTTGTTGTTTTTATATTGTGCTTCAAATGAATGTTAATATAACAAGTTAATTGTGTGTGTGTGTGTGTGTACTGTCAAATCGGATCTGACTTGTATTGGAGGAGATTTCCCCTCCTTCTCCAGCAGAGCATCTGGTGACAAATTTATTTTCTGATCATTAATGTACAGATTGTTCTGAGACACTGGCTATAATCTCCACAATGTATCAGCATTCCTTCTGTTTCCATTCTGAGTATCTTATTTCCATTCAGTTGTTATCTTGGTCCTTCCTGCCTTCTTATCTTTGAAATGTGGCCAGTCTGTCAATTGTTCTAAGGAGCACATCCTTTTCAGGTGTAGTTTATTGTCTTATTTATTTATTAACTGAAAAGTGACCTGGTGTGTCTTTAGTTTCAAGTTAGAAGGTTATTTTACAGCAGTAGTCAGTGAGTGTATTTAAAACCAGAAAGCCTTGTCTTTTGTGTGTGTTTGCTACATTTTTAAAAAAAATTTAATTTTATTATTTTTTGTGCATTGTACTGTCAAATCAGGTACAGGAGGGGATTGTCCCTCCTTCTCCAGCAGAGCATCTGGTGAATTCGAACCAGGCACATCCAGGATTGCAGTGCAGCTTCTTGTCACTAGGCCACTAGAGCTCCCTTTGTGTGCTACATTTTTTACACATTCTGAGACCCTCTATACTGGTCCTCGTCAGACCGGTTCATTGTTAATTAGGTGCTGTTGAGTTGACTACACAATTCAAAGCAACCCCATAAAAAACAGATCTGAACCCTGCCCTATCCTGTACCATCCTCACAATCTCTGACACATTCAAGCCCTTTGCTGCAGTCACTGTGTCAGTCCCCCTGGTTGAGGGTCTTCCTCACTTTGGCTGTCTCTCTATCTTTCTAATTATGATGCTCCACTCTAGGGAATATCCTATCCTAGCAAAATACCCAAAATGTGTGAGTTGAAGCTTTATCAATTTTGCTTTCAGGGAGCACTCTGGATGCACCTTCTCCAAAGCATATGCTTGTTCTTTTGGAAGTCCATGGGATATTCATCACCCTTCTATCACCACAATTTAAAGGCATCAGTTCCTCATCTGTCATCCTTACTTATTGTCCAGCTCTCAGATATACAGCAAGTTACTAAAAAGACTATGGCTTGAATCAGGTAGTAATGATAGTCAATACATCTAGTTGTCCTGTGTGACAGTTTTGAAGGATGTACATGTTGGTATATGAGTTACAGGAGTGAAAGTAATGGCATAGGAAACCTCTGTTCTCTGTCTTCTTCTCCTAACACTTCCTTCTCTCCCACCTTTTGGAACATTTCTGATCTTTCTTAGTGTTGTAGAGTGTATTCCACACTAAGACAGACTTAAGAAGCAGGCCTGGCCATCTACTTCTGAAATAACAGGCCTTTGAAAGTCCTATGGATAATAGAAGAACAATGGGGATAGTTGTGTTCAATAATAAAATGAACTCAGATTCCCCTTCCAAATGGACTTGTTGCACACCTCTAAGTTAGCTGAACCTGTTAGCTTTGGGAAATACTTCAGCATTGTTGCTTAGGTCATGCTATTCTGTGGTCACTCTCCAAAAGCCAAGCTAAAGCTATGATAGAAGAACCTTGTTCTTTCCACCCTATACTGGCCATCTTGGCTCTTTAGCTTGCTTGCTCTTGGACAGGCTTACCCAAGTTTGCATCATTGCATACAGTGGTTTCCCAGCTTAATCTCCCATCTTCCTCTTTTTTTTTCCCTATATAAGAGTTATTCTCCATTAAACCTTTTTTATCTTTCCTAATTGGGTTTGCTTATTGAACAATCCAGCTTGCAACACAGTTCTTATACAAACCACTCAGTTTTATTCATTTTACTATTTTCACTGTAGGCTTTTTATTGAGAACTGTGTTACTTGCCTTTGTATGTTTTGCAATGTTACACTTCTCTTTATGTAAAACTGTTAAGCATCTTAAGAAAGTATTCTTTCTGAATACTGTTAAGCATCAAGAAATTTTAAAACTCGTCTCCCTGTCTTAATGAAAGATAACGGAAAATGACATTTTGATAAGCTCTAGAGAAATGTGCAATGAGGTTTTCCCAAACTGAACACATCTGTGTGATTGGGACCTGGTTGAAGTCTCAAGGAACTCTGGTGGTGTAGCTCATCTCATGATGTGTTGCACTGCTAAACCTTTGAAAAAGATCCTGCAGGTGCTTCAAGCTCACCAGTCATTCCTCTGGAGAAATCTCGGCACTTTCGTCCTATTAAGATTTACATACTGCCTCAGAAACCCAGTGGAGGGTCGCTTTGACTTAGAATGGAGTCAGTGGCAGTCAGTAAAGGAGAAGCTTCAAAGTAGCTACTGAGGGTTAACGATTATTCTTACTTGGAGCAGCATAAATGAATTTTGCCTAGTTTGGAACTTGATAGAACCATAATCATATAGTATGTACTCCTTTTCTCTTCTTTCACTCAACAAGATTATCTTTGAGAAACCTGTTCATGTGTGTGTACGGAGCTCTGATAGCCTAACTAGGTAAGGAGTTGAGCTAGCAATTTAGGCATATGATTTAAATCTACTTTACCCTGAGGAGAAATCGCTTGTGCAATTTACAGCCGATGAAAGCTTGCTGGAGGGTCAGTGCTGATTCTGCAGCATACAACAGCATCCACATGTGTGTAGCTGTGGCTCCTTGATTCTTTTATGTGTAAACTTAACATAATATTGCTTGTCAATGGGCATTTGCATTTTCTAGGGTTTTTACTATCATGAATAACACTTGGGTGAACTTTATCATTAATTGTTTTATAATTCATATTTAAACCATTTAAGCCTATTCTTGGTGCAGAGTCCCCCTTGCCCCCTAAAATGAATTATTTTGTGTAAAAGCCATAAAATGTTTTCCATCCTGCATCCTCAGAATGTTATTACTCTTGAGAGTAGCCATAGTTAGATTTTACTTCTAAGTTTTGAGGCCTTAGATTATTATTATTGGATGAGGGAGGAGGCTAGTTGCCATTTCCTGTGCTGTGTGCCAGTCAGATTCTTGAGTCAGAGGAATTGCTGAAGAACAAGTTTTCAGGCTTTTGGTTATCATATCTGACCTTTATCAACTTCACATAGAGGAACAGTTTCCGTCAACAACGTCAGTAACAAAAAAAAAACCCACCCAAAAACCCTCACCAATTCCCATGAGGCCAGACATGTCCCCCCACTTCTTTCTACTCAACACCAATCTTACTGCTTTACTGTGTCCAAAGTCCAAAATGATAGCTTACAGTCCCTAGGGAACCATATTGGGGAAGTTAAAAGGTTATAATCTAGGTTAGTAGCAGAATACAGTCAGGACAGCTTCTGAAATGTGCTCGTAGGCACTTCAGCCTTGAGCCTCATGACTTAAGGCCAGTGTTACAAAGTCCTCAGTCCTGCAAATTATGGTCCTCAACCCCCAGTTGTACAGTAAGCTTGCGCAAAAGCTCTTAGTTCTGGTTTTAATGATGTAGCAGTCCCAAGGTACCGTTCACCAGGTCTCTGGTTCTCTGCTGTGGCTGCTATGGCGGTTGGTCCTATAGACCCTCTTGCCTGCTCTTTTTCCTGATGGTGAGGTTTCTTCTCTTTGTCACCAGTGGTTGGGTAGTCTCTTCTTCTGCTGCTCCGTTGCACAATTTAATGGCAGGACTAGCTAACCCCTTTATGGGTTGGTTAGACTAGCCAATCCTCTTGTGGATTGGTAGATAGCCTGTCCCCTTGTAGATAGGTTAACATGTCCTATTCACATATCCCCATCTCTCTATATGGCAAAGTTAAGTCATGGCAAGGAAAATCACATTGAAAGATAAGTTCCACAAAGGTCTTTCCGGTTTTCAATGGAGAGAAAAATGCAATCAGAAGCCTTTGGGGATTTGTTAGATACCTTGAATGGGCTGGATACATGAGCTGAGCACTAGTGTGAGAAAAGTGTCAAATAATAGATTTTATAGTGAACAAAGAAGAGAAATCAATGAGTAACTTCAGCACACATACCTGAGTTGCTCAGGCAGTTCTGAGAGTATATACTGATGTTTATTTCTTTTTTACTATAGTTGTTGAGTGGAATGTCATGGCCAGCTCCTCGGACAGTGAAGATGACAGTTTCATGGCTGTGGACCAAGAAGAAACTGTACTGGATGGGACAATGGGGCAAGATGAGGAGCCCCACCCAGCACTGGAAATTGAGGAGACTCGGCATAACAGATCCATGTCTGAACTTCCAGAAGAGGTTCTGGAGTACATCCTGTCCTTTCTCTCACCTTATCAAGAACACAAAACTGCAGCCCTTGTCTGCAAACAGTGGTATCGACTTATCAAAGGTACTGTGAAAAGTAAAAGATTTATTTGTTCAAAACTATTTGGCAGTGTAAAGATTTCTATTTAAACTTCCAATTTGTCTTTTCTCCCCTAAATTTATTATCATAATACATAGTGGTAAACAATTAAACACTGAACATTTCCTTTTCTCTTTGTCAGCTTAGCTGTATGAACAACTAAAATACTAGTATTTAATCTCAATTATAATTTTAAAACTAGAACTTCTTTCCTTCATATTCTTAGATTGATTTGGTATCTTGGCATAATCCTAGAACAGGGGAAGTAGGGATGGATATGTGATAACAGAATAGCTAACTTCAACATCGCTTCTGCTATGTGCCAGACATTAAGTGCTTTACAGTCTTCACAGCAAACAATGAGAAGGAAATACTAGTACTCTCTTCCTTTTACAGTTGATGAAGCAGAGGCAGAGTTAAATAACTTAGTAATAGTGAGTTATGCTGCGAACCAAAAGGCTGTGTCTTTCTGGCGGTTTGCATATACCAACAGGTACAGAGTCCTTCATGATTGTTCTCGTGAGAAACCTGTATCTAGACCAGCAAGCAGTTGTCCAAACAGAACAAGGGAACACTGCATGGTTCAAAATCAGGAAAGGAGTATGCCAAGGAAATATCCTTTCCCCCTACCTTTTCACTCTATATGTGGAACAGATCATTTGGGAGGCTGGACTTTATGAAGAAAAATATGGCATCAGGATTGGAAGAAGACTCACCAGCAACCTGCATTATGCAGATGTCCCAATCTCGTTCGTTAGAACTGAGGAGGACTTGAAGCATTTGCTGCAAAATGCCAAAGATTACAGCCCCTTTTAATATGGACTGCATCTCAACATCAGGAAAACAATCACTAGGTCCATAGGTAGAGTCATGATAGCTGGAGAAAGGATTGAGGTTGTTAATAATTTCATCTTGCTTGGATCTACAATCAGCATTCTTGGTACCAGCAGTAAAGAAATCAGAAGACAAGTTGCATTGGGAAAATCTGCCAAGGATGTCTCCAGAGTGGTAAAGAGCAATGATGTCAGTTTAGAGACTAAGTGCACCTCATTCAGGCCATGACCATCTTGATTGCTTGTTAATAAATCTGAGAGCTGAACAGTGACTAAAGATGAGAGAAAAATTGATGCCTTTCAGTTACAGTGCAAGAAAAGAGTATTGGACATACCATGGACTGTCAAGAGAACAAAGAGTTCTGTCCTGGAGAGTGTGAAACCGGTTTATTCCTTGGTGTCAAGGATTTTGAAGCTCTGTCTCACATACTTTGGGCATGTTACCAGGAAGGACCAGTCCTTGGAGAAAGACATCATGCTGGGAACAGTGGGGGTTCAGAAGAGAAAGACCCTGGATGAGATGTATTGACACAGTGACTGACAATGAGGTCAGGTATGTCTGAGATGGTGAGGTTGGCTCAAGATAAGGCAAGATTTAATTATGCAACAAAGAATTTTTTCTTTTAAAGTGAACTGGGCCAGGTAGGGAGGCAAATGTGTAACATGAAAATCCAACTTTTCTGTAAACTTGTTAAAATCACAATTTAAAAAGTTTGTAAACAAAAAGGGAGCAAGATTCAGAGCCATTGTTAATATGGTCGCCATGAGTCTTAGACGACTCCATGGCACATAACAAAACAGTCTTCCCATGTGATTTAAAGCTGCGGAAATCCAAAGGAGGGTCTGCTATGAGTTGATTCTGAGACAGCAGTAAGAGACAGAACCAAGGGGGAATAGCAGGAGGATCAGAAATTGGTGTCTAGGTCATCTGACTTTGAACCCATCCTCATAACTGCCTCATAGTAAATAATTTCAGTAAGTGTGGGATTGGGAAAGCTATGTTCAATATTTTATCCCCAAGTAAAATAGGCCCTGTGTATGTTTTATACCTTTTAAAGTGTCCTAATGTCCTTTTTGTTTTGTTCTCTATTTTAAAATCAGATTTTTGGTTTTTCATTAAATGTTGAGGTTGTTAACTATGTAATATTTTTAATAGACAAATAACAGTTAATTTGACTTTACTAGTAGCCAGGTACAGAAAACCTTTAAAATCAAAGTCAGAGGTCTACCCTTTTTTTTTTTTATAGTTATTCTTTGTAAAGATTCTAGTTAAATGTTTCCAGCTAGCTCTGGAAGCACCAGCCTATAAAGTAGGTTTTCTTAACACACATACCAAGTAAACCATATATCTACTTTAATAAAATTTAAACAAGCGTGAGATGAAGGATCTGTTTCCAGCTGTAGGTTTGGGATGAACAAAAGAATAATAAGTAAGGTGGAGTTTGTAGTATCTGAGTTCTAGTCCACTTAGGATCGGCAAGAGAAGTTTTAATCTGGCATATTAATATCTACCTTGGGATGTGGCAGACTGTATGCTCCAGGGCTCTGGCGTATAACTTTTTTGTCATCCTTCCTCCAAATAACAGCAAGTTTAGGAACTTCTTGATCAGATGTTTCTTCATCATCTTCACTATCTTCATGACAAAAGTCGTATGAAATGTTCCCATATTCTCTTAAAAATGGGCAAATATTCAGCAGAAGCTGACAGAAGTCTCTGCGAATACCAAACCACCAATAATTGCCCCCCTTCTGCCAGCATGCCATGATCATTAATGTTAGTAGTGAAAGCCAAAGGGGAACAAAGATGGTCTTATAAGAAAACGCATTGAGATCGTCTACTCTATGAACCAGGAGAACCTCAAAAGTGAGAAAAGGCACATAGATCGTTATCCACATCATAGCCTCCGACAGGCTTGCTCTTTGCTGCCCTGAAGCCACATTTGGGGTCCATGGGTGCAGGAGCGACCAGATTATGTAACAAAGGATGATCAAGCAGAAGATGGACATGAAGACCCACAGGGGCACCAACACCACCTGCCACTGCCAGTGGATAATCTTGTCCAGTCTTAGAGCAATGAAAATGAACTGCAGAATGTTGACAGAGCACAGGATTTCCAGCTCGACTGACCGATCATGTCGGAAGCCCCAGACACAAGCGACCACGGACACCGGGAACATGAAGAACAGCGGTATGAAGACCAGCATCCAGGCGTGCTCCCCCGTCTCTATACTGTCGCACACCAGGATTTCAAACACAAACAGCAGCAGGTGGATGCCCACGGAGATCAACATAGCCTTAAGCTCCACGCAGGCCTCCCTTTCAGCGTGGTACTGAGGGTTACTGGCCCAAATGCTGACACCCACAGAGGCGCCCAGGATGACCATGAACTTCCACAGCCATAGGGGTGCGAAGACGGCCCAGTAGGTCCACTGGATGACGCCATCCAGACGAAGGGGCAGCAGTATTGAGAAGAGCAGCAAGCATGCATAAGTGAAGAACTTACTCGGGTTGAAGTTCTCGAAAAGGTCCCTGGATTTCATCGTGGGGCCGCTGCCTTCTTGGTCGCCTCACTGCCCTGCCCAGGTGGTCTTTCGTCCGTGTGTGTCCAGGCCGCTCTCAGGCCCACTCTGTTTCCGCTCTAGGCGAGCGTCTGTGCAGGCCAGTGTGCAAGAGGCTCGGCACTGGGTCCTGAAGCTGGAACACGTGTGCACACAGTCACGTGGTGGGGCGGGGTTGAGAGGGGTGTGCACGTCCAGGCTCCCATCAGTCTGCGGGCTCGGCGGCTGGCTCAGGCGCAGGGCGGGGAAACAGGTTGTGCTGCTTGGTCTCACTACAGATTGGAAGGAGTGCTGGTGATCTAGTGGTAAGAAGCTGCTCAGCATCCTAAAGACCACGGTTCAAATTCACCAGCAGCTCAGGAAAACCTGCTGGAGAGTCAGCAATGGGTCAGATCTGCCTCGATGGCATGCAACAACAAAGAAGTTGAGGCTAGCCACCTTGAGGCCCTGGTCACTGTCCTTCATTTTGTATACATTTAGGAGCATCAGTTGAGGACAGTGCTGGGGAAGACAGTGGTTGCCATGGGCTGAAATCTTGGCCATCTGCCGACCACCAGACTGGCTCACTGGCAGCGAGTGGGATCTCTTCCTGGCACCCATTTTTCTGATGGCACCAGCAGTCTTTCTTCTGTCAGAGTGGTTCTCATTGAGATCGTGGCTCTTGTCAGCTCCCTGAATCCTACTAAAGACCAGCTGTGACTAAACTGGTAGACCTGCATAGTACATAAGCTCTGCAGGTAGGGGACAGCTTGCCTTTGTTTATCTAGTTAAGGTAGAAGAGGCAGACTCCCTACATGGTGGAAAAGTTATTCACTCCTAACTAAAGATGGAAAAATCACAAATAAGGGGGTATAATCTAATGACATGCACTTATTACTGAATTTTGTTTGGTATTTTCTTATATATGTCCCTAAGAGAAGATCTTTACCTTACTAGTCAATCTTAGACCTTCTAGAGGAAATCCTTCTCGAGGAAACATTTTTTTCCCATCTAGAGGAAAAAACCAGTCCTTTTCTCCCAGTTACAATATACCTGTCTTTTGTCATTAGTATATTATTTTGAGTCAATATCAGTAAACCAGTAGTACACATTTTAAGGAGTTTGGATAGTATGATGAATGGTTAACACAGCTGCTCATTTAAAGGTACTTGGATGGAACTACCAGTGGCTCTGAGGAAGAAGAGCCCAGGCAGTCTCCTCCCAGAAAGATCACTAGGAAACCCGGGACAGCTCCAGTCTTCACAGAGGGTCATTCTGAGTAGGCATCAATTTGCTGGCACACGCCATCGGGGCCTCATCCCATTTTACTATTAAGAGTTGGCAGTGCTTTTACTGTAAAAATGGTATGTAAATATTGTTCGAGTTTATTTAGCTGTAAGCTAAGCCAAATTAAACTTGTGATAGTGTGGGAATAGTGATAATAATTGGGAAACATATGCTTAAAAAAAATAGGGAGTTCTGGTCCCCCAGTGGGTTAGGAGTTACACTGCCTACCCAGAGGCAAGGTGGTTCAAATCCACTGTTTGCTTCTTGGGAGAAAGATAGACAATCTCCTCCTGTGTATGATTTATAGCCTCTGAAAATCTATTGGAGGGTCAGCTATATCAGTTCCAACTCAATAGCAATGATTATGAAAGTTCTGATGGTGTGAGAATAGTGATCATCATTGGAAAAGCTGTGCTCACGGATCTATAACTCACCATCCGTGGTGACTCAGGTACGTCAGGGCAGAACGGCTCTCCATGTTTTTCTTGGCCGTAATCTTTATGGAAGCAGTTGTCAGACTTCCACTGGCATTACTGGGTAGGTTTGAATCACTAGCTTTAGGTTTTCAAATGCAAAGGCTTTATACCACCTAAAAATGGTATTTCTTTCAAAAATGTAACAGTTGCTTATACTTTTTATTTACAGTTTTGCTTTTTGATAGAATTAGCTGACCTTTATTATGAATTCAACACCTCATAATCTACTATGAGCTAATGATTATAGTTTCCCTAAGATAGAAATGTTCTGATGCCAACACCTAACCATGGCTGTTGACTGAGTACTTGCTACATGCTGGACACTATTTTACCATCCTCTTTTACAGAGCAAAATTATTCCCCATCCCCTTTGCTATGGAGTAGATGATACTGATAATCTTGATATATCACCTCATGATGTAAAGGGGAACAGAATAGGACCAGTCTGTGAAAAAAGACATCTGCTGGGAAAAGCAGAGAGTCAGAGAAAGAAAAGAAGGTCCTCAAAGAGATGAATTGGCACAGTGACTATAACAGCTGGCTTGAGCAATGCAAAGATTGTGAGGATGGTGCAGGATAGGGCAATATTCCAATCTGTTGTTCATCGGGTTGTTACGAGTTGTAGTTGACTTGATGGCTGCTGACTACCACAGAGTAGTAATATAAGTGGATTTTATAAACTTGGGCAAATAAATTACTTACTTATCTGAACAGCATACAATGAAAGAATTGGATCTCCTTGTTTTGAAATTCCAGTTGTTTCTTTTCTTGAAATGAAAATAAAACTATAATTTCTCAAGGAATTTAGTATTTTATGAACATACCAAGGCAGTAGACATAGTTGTTGCTGCGGTTTTTAAAGATCAAGGAAATAAGTGTCTTTTTAGACCTATTCATGCTAACAATACTCAGTTGTTTTGTGTGCTGCTGAGTTGGCACCGACTCATAGCTGACCCTCCAGCGGATTTTCAGAGGCAGTTAATAGTGTAGGAGGAAATTGTCCCTTCTCCTGCAAAGCAGCTGATAGATTTGAACCTAGGTTCTTAACTGGGTTGGCTACGAGAGCTCCCTATAATACTCAGTAAGAACTACATATACCTAGGAATAAGCTTGATAGGATGTTTATGAATATTATTAGGGAGTTTATTAGTATGGGAAGAATATAGTGTAGTTCTTATAATGTCTTTTGTAGATGAGGTGTCCAATGTCCAGGCTGAGGCATTTATTTTTTCTTTCTTTAGGTGTAGCCCACCAGTGTTACCATGGTTTCATGAAGGCTGTCCAGGAAGGAAACATTCAGTGGGAGAGCCGAACTTACCCTTATCCTGGAACTCCTATCACTCAGAGGTTTTCACACAGTAAGTATTTAATGAGACTAGCCTGACTATGGTCAGGTTTCCAAAAACTACTCTGGAGGCATGTATTTGATTTGACATTAATGACTAGAATGTGAAACAAGAACTTGTATTAATTCTACAATCAGAATTAGGAACAAACATGAGCCTAAGTACATTCTAGGTGCTTTGGTACAGTATTTCTGCCTTAACAGATTTTTCTAGTTTCTTTCCTCTAAAGAGATTGAAGTGTTTTGCTTAGAGTTTTAGACATCTGATGTCATGTAAAGGGAAAACAAAGGAAACCAGCACATGAAGGTATTTCTGATAGTCTCCTTGAGTGCAGTTAGAGTTTAGCACTAAATTTCACAGATAATGGTTTAACATAATATACATTCAACAAACTTTGAATTTGTGCTCACATTTTTTTAATATGAAAAATACTATCTATAAAATGAAATAAGATTTAAACAGTAAAATTATAGATAAGATGTTCTGGTAAATAAAGAAATATACTTTTAAGTTCTTCTAAAATGAGCTCCATTTTTATTTTTTGTAGACGGTTGTATTGTAAGCCAGTGAAAGTGTGTTTTTAACAATTCTTTGTAGAGAAGAGAAAGCTCATTTGGGAGTCACAAAGGAAGGAAAGACTTCTTAGAAAGGTCTTATAATTACAATTTTCACTATTGAAAAGGGAGCAGTGGCAAGGTGGGGACAGCCGAGTCTGACTTCTGAACTCCACTGAGGTGAACTGTCCTTGTCAGTAACATTCACAGTACCGAACAAATAGCTGCAAGGTCAGACATGACTTCTGAACCTGCTTCTACTATTGATAGGTTCAGTGTTTGTTTCAAATTGACTCACAGACTTGACTGTACACACAGTTGTGGGGTTTATTAAGGAAATGGTTGAGGTAAGGGAAGCAAAGGATATCACACAAAGTCCAAGTTTAGTGAAAATGAATCTCAAGCTAGGTAAACAGCAAGACAATTCCTCAGACAGCTCAGTCAATAAGTGAAAGTCTAGGTTCAACCCAGCGGCACAAGTGCAAGAAGCCTCTGGTTTCCTCAGTCATCTGGCAAGCTTTGTCTCATAGCAACTACAAGTCAGTTCTTTCTTCAGTCATCCAGAAGCAAGACCTTTAACTCTGGCTCTGTGTCCAGAGTTCTTTCAGGCTGTGCTTGCCACAGTCTCCACAGTCAGGTTCATGCTCTCTTTTATAAGGAGCCTCACAGCTATTTATGTGAGCTGTGGATGATATTGAAGATGCTGATCAGTGGGTGAACTGTGAGGGAGCTCTGGTGACCTACTGGCAAGAAGCTGTGCTGCAATACTGAAGGCACACGGTTCGACTCCACCAGATGCTCTTCTGGAAAAGGAGGGACAGTCTCCTCGTGGGCCAGTTAGATCTGATTTGATGGCACACAAGAAAAAAAAAGAAATGGGTGAGCAATGTTTCTGCATTTGAGGGAGCCGGAGACCATTCCCTCAGAGGAGTTAAAGCAGTGGTAATAAAAGCCATTTTCAAAAATCTTAACACCATATTTGTATTACTGTCCTATTCAGACTTCTCAATGTGTATTTGATAAAATCTAAACTTAACCTTATATGCAAAGCTTTCTTCATTTGCTCTGAGCCTAAATTTATCATTTAATTGTGTTTTTTTCCCAAGAGCTGTCCTCTTTGACACACTGTCATTGTACCTTTGCCATACTCAACTTTTTGCCTAGCTTTCCTTGACAATTTAGTTAATGTTCTGTCTCCTTCATGAAAAGTTTTCTTCAACTCTTTGACCCATAGAAAAATGTTTCTTGTATACTTATTGTTTGAAATATGCGTTTGACACTGAACTCAATTTGGCAGTTAATTCACTATTTCCTTTCGTATGTATGTGTCTTTTTAAAAACAAACAAAGCGCACATATTTTTAAATATTGAGGGGAAGGGGTGTAGTTGAGTTATCTATGTTGTGTAAAGTTCAGAGGTCTGAGAATTCTAGCTTATAATATCTCACGAGGTTGGAGTTAATCTGCTAGCCAGAGATAATGGTCACCTGAAGGCCTGATGGGGCTGAAAGAACTGCCTGCAAGCGAACTCAAGAAACTGTTGTCAGAAACCTTAGCTCCTCACCATCAGTCTTCTAATAACTTGGCAGCCAGCGCGTCCCACAGAATCAGTGATCTGAGTCAGAAAAGACTGACTAGACACCTACACTAAGACAAAGCCAGGGTGTCTTACAGCCTCAACATCAAAGTGAATGCCTTCGCTTCTACTCCAGTATGTTGATCACATAGATCAATGCTGGTAAAAGAGATTAGCCAAGAGTGTAAATGTCCTTGAGGGCCAGCTTAGCTACCCTTGACCATACTCTTTTTGTATTTAGGGTAGAGTTTAGTAAATACAACTCATCAGTGTCTTTGAGTTGAAATTGTGTAAATAGATCAAAGGAACAGAGCAAATGTCTGTTCTTTCCAGGTGTGTTTTTGTGATGTTATAAATGCCCCAGAGCAGTGGATTTCAGAGTATAATCCCTGGTCCTCGTGGGGAAGGGAGGTATCCCTGAGGCAAAACTGTGTTTGTTTTAGATGGCAGATATGTCAGTGTACAGTACAAGTATTACTAGGGTATTTCAGTGCCATTGCTTTGACTTGTTAAGGCTCCAGTAGTTTTATCTACCATTGCTAAATGTAAATCAGGACAGATAGCAACATAGTAAAAAAAACTAAGTAATGTTTTATTATAAAAATAGTTTCTAAAAGATCTTGAGTATCCTCAAAAGAGCCACATGCCAAAGTTTTTAAATGGCTGAAAAATATGTAACAGAATCCTTGCTGAAATATTTAATGCGATTACAGAAGGATCAATATTTATTATTAGTAGAAAAATAACTTCACTTACCTGCAAATAATTGAGATTAGAGATAGAGTTTCTAAAAACAGAAGACTTTTGAAAATCAAGTTGTTTTAGAATCCTGAGTGACAAAAATTGGATGAATTTGGGGAGATAGAAATCAGAATAGAAAATATTTAGGAGTTAATGATGACTGTTATAACCATACAGCTGTCTGGTGAAAGAGAAAAATATTTTCCATTTAACCTACTCAATCTCAGAATACAGACAGTTATTTAAAGGCAAGTGAAAAGACAAAGTTGCAGTGAGTAATCTCTCCCTGGAGGCTAGTGATTGGAGTGTTTGGATAAATGTTTTTATTTTTTTTGAAGTCTTCACTTGAAATTTAGGAAAATGTGTTATAGATTAAAAGGTGCTTCATATCCCTATCAAGAAGGCAGAGATCCTCACCACTGGACCGATAAGCAGCATCATAATAGAAGGATAAAAGATTGAAATTGTCAATGATTTCATCTTATTTGAATCCATAGTAACACCTTTGGTACCAGCAGTCAGGAGATCAAGAGACAAGTCCTCTGTCATGGACTTCTTTAAATTACTGGTGACCAGTGATGTCAGTTTGAAGACTAAGGTGTGTCTAATTTAGGCCATAGTCTTTTCAATCACTTGCTGTGCATCTGAGAGCTCGACAGTGAATCAGGATGACAGAAAAAGAATTAATGCCTTTGTGCTATGCACACAAAGGATGCTTCTTGTTGTTATTAGCCACTAAGTTTCTTGTGACTTGTAAGTGACCTTACTTAGCTCTGAACCCTGCTCTATTTCATTGTCTAATTTCATTGTCTCTGATACACTTACCCTCATTGCGCCAGTCGCTGAATCAATCCATCTCAACCAGGGTCTTCCTCTCTTGTGCTGTCCCTTCACCCTTCCAAGCATGATGTCCTTCTCCAAGGACTGGTCCCTCCTGGCTTCGTGCCAAAAGTATGTGAGACAGAGCTTCAAAATCCTTGCCTTTAAGGAGCAGCCTGCATTTTAAAAAGAAAACAAAACTACATACACGAAATCCACCGTAATTCTTTGCCTTTTAGTCAGAACTGAGTCAATGCAATACCTTATCCACTAAGCCAGAAGAGCACATGTTAAACATACAACACTAAAAATTAGGAAGCCTTCCTCACTTCAAAGGGACATTCTAGTATCACTTCTTTAAATTCAGATTTGTTTTTTTGAATCCATGGTAGATTTGGTAATCTTTTGCCAGCCCTGTAATTCAACAACAACAACATAATTAAAAGGCAACAGTTCTTCGGTCTTATTCATTGTCCGGCTTTCACATGTATATATCCTTTACAGTAGATTTGCCCATTGTAATACGTTGTTTCATGTCTAGATTGTTTCTTCCGTGGGTGATTGTCAATTAAATCTTTGGCAACTTTAATCTTTTCTCATTTTACCCTATTCTTGTTCACTGGTCTAGTCCTGAGGATTTCTGTTTTCTTCGTGAAATGTAACCCATGAAGGCTATATAGTCTTTGAACTTCATCAAGTGTTCTTTGTTTTCATCAAAGACAGCAAAAACATGTGATTTCTGACCTCAAATCTGCATATAAAGACATCACCCTTGTTATTGATGACTTACATATGTAGCTGTCATATGGAACAGATTGTAGTAGAGAAGAAAGATCTGGTGATGCACTTCTGAAAATCAGTCAATGGAAACTCTGTAGATCAGTGGTCTGATCTAAATCATGGGGATAAATGCAGGACTGGGCAGCAGTTCAATTTTGCATGGGGGTCACCGTGAGCAAACAGCAACCAACAACATCAGTGCAGATTTAAAAGTTCAATTCATTTTCAAGTATTAAACTAATTACATGGAATTTATTCCATGGGCTATAAGATTTGTTTAATATTTGACAATCAGGCAACTGTGTTGTAATACTCTTTTTCTAGCTTGTTGGATTTGGTTGACAAAGGCTTTATTTAAAATATGCTATTTTCTTGTAAGACTTTTTCTATATCTTGTGTCAGTAGAATGTTGGCCTTATAAAACAAATCAGAAGTGTTTCTTCCTTTTTTTTTTCTGACAAAGTCTGTGAAAGGTTGATATTTTTTCTTTAAATATTTTATAAACTTGTCAGTGAGGGAGGAAAGATGACAAGGCTTACACAA